AATATTTAATATTTATTTTATATTTATTTTAAATAATTTCTTCTGACCTATTTCTTATTTAATATTTTAAATAAGTTGTATCAGTTTTTTATTGATTTTATATTTTAAATAATTTTCTGGAAATCTAATTTTATATTTTTTATTTTAAATAAATTGTATCAGTTATGTTACTGATTCGTTACAGTAAAAGTGATGGTGAATACTTAAATTATAGTATATTTATGATGAAGTATAGCATATATTATTATGTGAGGTACAAGATATATCCACATATAATCTGTTTCAATTTTCCACCTATGATTCACGAAGGGTTAATACTATTAAATATTAATTATAGGCTATAGTTATAAAAAACTGAAACGTTATACTTATAAATGTATATTCATATATTCAAATAAATAAAATCATTAAAAATAGAAAAATAAGCACGTGTGCATGCAATATAAGCCAGTAATAGTCAATATAAGTAAGTAAATCAATAAGTCAAGGCCAATAATCAGTAAATCAATCAATAAGCCTTGACTTATTAAAAATCATAAAATATTTTGTATTTACTATTTGAAATGTTTATTTAAAGACCATATTTTTTATTTTATATTTTAAGTAAGTTTTCGAAAACAATTTCTTATTTAAAAAAAGAAATTGCCTTCGAAAATTTATTTAAAATAAAAGACAAGTTATTTTTCTATTTTAAATAAAAGTTTTTCTATATTTGAAATAAATGTATTTTCGGATCCTATTTTTTATTTTATATCTTAAATAATTTCTTGTGACTTATTTCTTATTTAATATTTTAAATAAGTTCTTGGAACCTATTTTATATTTTTTATTTCTAATACAGAATAAGTCATATCAATTACTTTACCGACTCTTACGATTTTATATTTTAAATAAGTTTTGGAAACTTATTTTTTATTTTTTATTTTAAATAAGTCATATCAAATATTTTACCGAGCTCTGAGAATTATTTCCGTAAATCATTGTATATGTATATAACGAAAATATAAATTTTATCAATTAATATCAATAAATTAATATATGATATTTAGTAGTTTTGAATGGATTTTTGATGTCTTTGTTGAAAATATTATTCATAAATCAGGAAATATAAAGTCTTTAATTGAAATATCCATTTACACATCCCTTCTTATGTGTAAATAATACATCTAATTTATATGTGAATAAAGCATTTTATTATACATTGAGAAAAAAATTTATTAAATTTTAATAAACATTTTTTAAATAATCCTAAAAGTAAATAAATATTTAGATAAAATATTTAGATAAAATGATAGTTAAATTAAACTAATAATTCTAATACATATATATA